TTCAAAACCAACTGTTCAAATACATACAAATATCACACGGTTTCGCAACATCAGTCTTCGGAAAAACGTGCGCTCGCGCTCTTGCGACTTATTAGAGAACCATCGGTTTCTCAACATGTTCATAAAAATATGCCAAAAGGGCCTCTCGCGCCGCATGCCGACATCATTCGCACGCCCTTGGGCGCGTGCTGTGGGGGGCACGATCCGTGTCAACTAATACCATGCGGGCAACCCGCGCGCGTTGGCCGCGCGCGCATGTCGAACTCTTTCCGGAACCTTCATTAACGACGCGAGGACGCCGTCATCGTTGCCGGCGTGATCAGCATCGGCGCCCGCAGTGGCAGCGCCGTCGTTGTTCTAAAGGCAACATCGCTGCTATCATCATCGTGTTTACCGTCGTCGACGTTGCCATGATACCGCGCCCGCCCAAGTCGCCGATTTGCATTGAAGTGCCCGCTGGGATGTGCCCAGCGGTCAGCTCCACCGCGGCCGCGACGGTCGCGCCAAACTACCTGGCCGCTGCGCGCGCGTGTTTGGGTTGGCGCGGACGCAGAGATGGACCAGCCAACGTCAAGCACCAATCGCAATCGCCACCGCATGGGTTTTGCAAACCAAGTTGCGGGTGGGTAGGTGGGATGTTTGCGCGAGCAGTGGAAATGGTCAAGCGCGGTGCAGGGCAGTCAGTTCTCTTTTGTAAAGGGAGAATCGATTCACTCCTTCGCGTATTGCAATTTACATATGTGTTTGCCCATCGTCCATTTTCCTTTTGTGTACTCTGCGCCGACGCAACTTTGTGCCAGGCTCACACATAAACGGCTTGAAGAACTTATCTTTGGTCAGTGTCGAGATCATCCTACGCAGCTTCATGTGTCGATCGCGGAGTTTCTCGCTCAGCGGATGGTCTTGTGCTCGTTCGAGAACTTTTTCTGCTAGAAATTCGAAACACATACGCAGTCGGAATTTTGAAAATACGTCGCAAGCGTTGCACGTGGAAGCTGTCTAAATGGGTTTTTGTCCGCTTGCAGCGTCAAGTCTCGAGATTATACAACAACTTGGGCAAAACAATTGCTTTGTACAGCTGGGTTTTTCGATCGCTGCAGACATTCGCATGCGACCAACAATTCAGAACTTTACGTATAGATTTGACTTCGCCAAGTGTCCGAGTGATTTCAGATTTTGTTGAGCATGTTACATTCAAGAGTCCTTCTAAATACACCGCTTGCTCTTTCATTTTCAGCTGAGCGGCGCCAGTGGGGGAAGCACGGTACCAGTGTGGTGTACACGCATGCAAACAGTTCTATACCAATTCAGATATAATCCATATCTCGCGCCTTCGTCAATGCCTGTGTTGAGTAGTGTTTGGAGTTCCCCGGAATCGCTGCTGAGTAAAATGGCGTCGTCCGCGTATAGCAAGTCGCTGCATGCCAAGTAGTCCGGCTCCCAGATAGCACCGTGTAGGCCAGCCATTCTGTCATTGGCATCACAGAATATGATACGTTGTACGATAATGAGCCAATACGGTGGTAACGGACACCATTGTGTGATCCTTGCTTCTTGAGGTCGTTTGCTGGAGTTTACGACAGGGTTCCACAGCACAGAGTTTCTATGCTTGCAGATCGCTGCAAGCATATTGAACATGTTGAGTGGGATGCCGAATCTTGGAAGCGTGTCCAGAAGCGTATCGTGTTTGATCCAGTCGAACGCTTTAGACCAATCCAATCATACTGCAACCAGCCCTGGAGATTGACATGTCTCTGCTGCCTCGAACATCCTCCAGGCAATGCTAATTACTGAATTGGTGTTTGAAACATCCATGCCAAAGTTTGAATACCCAATCGGCAAAACAGAAATAGTACGGCTATTATTTCAATTGGTGTCTCCCCTTTGATGCAAAATTGCCAAAAGATAAGTCTGCCATTGTACTGGTATGTTTTTTTCGTCCCAGCACCGTTGAAAGAAAATCAACAATTCGCTGAACGCTTCCTCAGATGATAAGAATGCCTTCTCAAACTCTGGCGGTATGTCCTTCTACCTCCTGCTTTGCTAGCGGCGAAAGCCTGGAGAGCGTGCCAGAGCACTTCCATATCGAAGCTCCTGGTGTAGATGTTGAGTGTGTTTCCAATGCTTGTTCGCCCACTTGGTCGGGGATCGCGGTGTGTCACTTTCCGTTGGACTTGTTCGAAGTAGTCTGCCAATGCTTCAGCGCGTTGCATATTTTCCACCACTTGCCCATGTTCGTTGCGAATTGGTATTGGTTTCTAAGGAGGTTCTTTCCTTTAGGCCCGTACGGCGGCCCATTCTGCACCAACCAATTGCGAGTCCAACCGTATCTTTTTGTCTCTCCTCACAGATGCCTTGATGAGTCTTGTGAGCTTGTGCTCTTCCAATTAATTCCCCGCTGCTTAGGCACCATCCTACTTCGTTCAGCAAATCCAGCGTGGCTTGAGAGATACATTGCTGGTGTGGTTCCCTCCCAGAGATCTTAACTTTTTTGTTGCGTATGCCATTGCATCGGTGATGTGCTTAGTATGCAAAACCAACGTATCGGCATTCGTCGGCACCACCGTGGCCTCGCAGAAACGGCGGAGATAGTTTCAGCAGTATTGTCTTCCACCATCAGCGTGTCCACTTGGTATATGTTTCTGCGGTGCTTCGTGCGTGTCGTCTCGAATTTAACGTCTAAGAGCATACGTAATAGAAAATACCGATAAGCCAATGCGATTGATCGATCTGCCCAAATGTTTGCCCTTTTCCCAATCGCATTGTGATCAGCAAGGCAAACGTCAATTTGAGCAACACCTTCTCATACTGGACTCGCTTTGTCCACTTCCACCCCGTAATATGCGACAGTATTTTCCAACGGTTGTTCAACATATGTGTTGGCAATTGCGGTAGAAGTTGCTTGGCAAGTTTCCACCAACAAAGTTTTGTTCAAGGATGTTTTTTGTCGTGGCCATTTGTTTTGAAAAAAGAACTTACCAATGATATCTTCGTTCCCAGGTTCCTGGCTATATAGTCTCGCATTGAAGTCACCACATGCGATAGTGGTGGTGTGCTTTTTGGGTACCGGCCAAGCTTTTGTGAAGTGGTCGAAGAATTCGCGCCTGTCTTCGTAATCGTAGCCTCCGTGCAGCGCGTAAGCTGAGATAATATTCAGTACACCACCCAGGATCTTGGGTTTCAGGTTTGCAAGCTTGTCTGAAAGCAGCTTGTAATGTATGATTGACTTTATTGCCCAAGGCGCTACCAAAAATCCCACTCCAGAGTAAAATCGGCCCTCACTACTCTGCGGCTTTGACGTTTCAGATACAATCAGCATGTAGCCCGAATCCATGCTTTCAGCATTGGTTGCACCCGTTGCCAGAGGTGCTGTCGCAGGAGTCGTGTCGTCTCCTGCCACCAGTCTCTGACTCGTTGGAGCCCCTACTTCTGTCGAGAACAGAGTGGAGCATGTAGCGTCACCAGTAGGAGATGCACCCCTGGAACGTGCAACCGCAGACATAGCCTGCTGGGGTCAGAATGTACCTGCACGATTTGTGTACGCTGTACTGTGGTGCCCATTCTAGATATTGTGATGTTGATCCATATGGCATCCCCATCCTCCCCCTGTGCTGTGCATGGCGCATAGTACACGAGGTAGTCACACGTGTGTGTGTGTGTGTCGGCATGCTCGTACGCATGCGCATCTCCACAATATTTGCGCAGTGATGTTGTCTTGCCGAGAACTGCTTCGCCAGTCCTATGAGCTTGCGGATCCTTGCTGCAGTTAAAGTTCTCGCTAGTTGTTCTTTTCGAGCTCGCTTTGACTTGGAATGTAGCGTCAGCACATTCGCCGTACCAATTCTTGGTGCCATAGACCGCTGTGTATCACATTCGTCTGGAGTCACCGAAAATCCTCCCAAGACATCCTCGATCGTGTAGCCACCATGGGCCACCGGTTGTACCTTCAGGGCCCCTTCCGCAGTCTCAGCTGGAGGCTCTCCCGTGGGCTCCCGAAGGCCCCCGAATCCATCAAGCACCATCTAGACCCAAGCAAACGCCCTTGAGTCATGGAACAGTCGCAGAAACGGCACTTCGGCATATTTGGTGGAAATAACCCCGTCCAGGACAGTCTAGCTAGTGTGTCCACCAGTTCGTTGTATCCCTCACTTTGATGACTCTTCACATGCTCACCCTCAATCTTACATACATTGTGCAGAGCATGCGCAGCAGCACGGTTAAATGTGAGGCCAGATTGCCGAGCATCAAAGTGGTTCGATTTCGAGAATATTCTTAGTGCACGCATGGAGCTTGGCTTGAAAACAATTGGGCGTTTGAAGGGGCTCTGAGCAAGCCACGCAAGTGCCCAAGCCATCGCAAAAAGCTTTGCCGCGTCTGAGTAGTACCCTTGTGGGAACATAAAACGTGCTCATCTAGTACATGCGTGATATACCTCATCACCGCAATATCCCCGTTTTGGTATTCGCACAGAACACACATACACACCGCTCTCAGGTAGTACCAGTACCTGACACTACCTGTGCCTTGATGTTGCCACCAGTCCCGTCAGTGTAGAGGATCAGACGATGAGGGGGAGTGGAGGGAGAGTATGGTACAGTGTGCTGCAGAACCTTCACATATTGACCTATCAGACCTGGAAGCAACAGATTTCGACAGGAGGGAGGGGACAGGGAGGAGTGCAAGAAGGGAGGGGTGAAGATGAGGGTGAGAAAGAGGAAGAGGAGGAGGAAGCGAAAGGGAGGTTTTGCACCAAGTGGCCGCTGCATTCTGTCCCCCTCGAGGTCCGTGTTGACGCCGGCATGCTTGCTTGGAACGCCTTCGCCCCCCCCCCCCCCCGCGCAGGAAGACGGAGGGAATAGGAGGAGGAGGGGAACGGGGTGTGGGAGCAGCAGGAGGAGGAGGAGGAGGGGGATGAGGATCAACAGCAAACGCAAACTTTGCCCCAAGCTGCCCCCCCCCCTCCCCCCCCCCTGCCCCGCGCGCGCGCACGGGGCGTGGAGGCTCAAGGCTGCTGCCGAGGCGCCCGCGGGGAGAAGGCGCGGCGAAGGAGCCTGCGAGGGGGGCCCACGCCCGGGAGTGTGCAGAGGAGTGTGCAGGAGCAGGAGGAAGCTATCGCCTCGGCCGTCCGCTTTCAGCTCTTCAGGTAGGTGGACGGACGTGGCGCGCTGCGACCACGTGCGAGGAGGCGGCGGGCAGGGGACGAGGGGACGGGGGGAGAGGTGCCGAGAAAGAGCGAGAGGAGGACGAGGGGGGGAGGAGGACGCGAAGGACAGGGGAGGAGTGGGGGAGGAGGGGACGGAGGGGGGACGGTGCTGATGACGATGGGGATGAGGATGAGGACGAGGACGAGGGCGATGATGATAAGAGTGGACGATGTTGATGATGGTAATGGTGACGGTAATATGGCAATGGTAATGATACATAATGGCAATGTGAATGTCAATAGCAATGGAAATGGTAATTGTAATGGCAATGGCAATCGCAATGGCAATGGCAGTGATAATGGTACATGTAATAGTGATGGTGATGGTGATGATTGTGATGATGGGTACGATGATGACGGTGGCGGTGGAGGTGGTAAAGAAGATACGGATGAAGATTATGGTGGTCATGATGGTAATGATGGTGATGTTGATGGGGATGTCGATGGTATGTAATGATGGTGAGGATGATGATGATGATGATGATGCGGGTGATTATGAGTGTGATGTTGAGTGTACTGTGGACGGTGAGGATGAACATGATTATGATGACGGTGACGATGACGATGATTATGATGATGATGAGGAGGCGAATTACGATGGAGATGACGATGATGATGACGATGATGATGATAATTATCATAACGCAGATGGTGACGCTGATGCTGGCAACGACTACGATGGGGAGGATGAGGATGATGATGATGCTGATGATGAGGGTGACGATAATGGTGATGATGCTATGAAATGATGATGATGATGATGATGATGATGGTGATGGTGATGGTGATGGTGATGGTGGTGGCGAGACGCTGATGATGATGATGACGAGGATGATAATGCAGGTGGTTTGGTGGTGGTGATGATGCTGCAGATGCTGATGATGATGATGATGATGATGATGATGATGACGATGATGATGGTGATGGTGGTGGTGGTGGTGGTGGTGATGATGATGGTGGTGGTGGTGATGATGGTGGTGGTGGTGATTACGAGGCGGAGGAGGAGGAGGAGGAGGAGGAGGAGGAGGAGGAGGAGGGGGCAGGGGAAGAGGAGGAGGAGGAGGAGGAGGAGGAGGAGCCGTAGCCATCTTGGCTCAAGTTCGAACCCCGTGTCGCGGGGGTTCGAGCTTGGAGATTTCCGCACTGTGCGACAACCACCAAGGGGGCGCCTAGGCGCTTCTGCTTCCTGCCAGCCGTTCCGAACCCAAATCACAGGCTCGCCCTCGGATGACGCAGTGGCGCCAGCAGCAGCGCCGCCATGCTTCGTGGAAATGACAATGGCGGAGCAGCAGCAGCAACAACGGTTCAGATGGCGGACGCGATGCCGCCAACACGCAGTACGTGGTGTGTGACGTGTGTGACGCGTGACGTGTGTGCGTGTGTGTGGTGTGGTGTGGTGTGGTGTGGTGTGGTGTGGTGTGGTGTGTGGGGTGTGGGGTGTGGGGTGTGGGGTGTGGGGTGTGGGGTGTGGGGTGTGGGGTGTGGGGTGTGGGGTGTGGGGTGGGGTGTGGGGTGTGGGGTTGGGTTGTGGGGTGTGGGGTGTGGGTGTGGGGGTGTGGGGTGTGGGGTGTGGGGTGTGGGGGGGGGGTGGGTGTGGGGGGGGTGTGGGGTGTGGGGTGTGGGGTGTGGGGTGTGGGGTGTGGGGTGTGGGGTGTGGGGTGTGGGGTGTGGGGTGTGGGGTGTGGGGTGTGGGGTGTGGGGTGTGGGGTGCGGGGTGTGGGGTGTGGGGTGTGGGGTGTGGTGTGTGTGTGTGGTGTGTGTGTGGTGTGTGTGTGCCCCCGCAGCTGGCAGCTCTGAATGGCCCGGCTTCCTCTCTTCCTATCGCACCGGGGTTTTTCCTCCTCTTTCCTGCATCGCGGCCACGATTTGCACACAGCGTGTCCCCTGCTGCCTTTCTGCCGGAGCAGTCGCCCTCTGCCCAGCCGCCGACGCAAATGTGTGTGTGTGTGACGGACGTGTGTGGCATGAGGAAGCGGTTGGCGCAGGCGCGGAAGGACCCGCTGCGCAGGTGGGTCAAGCATCTCCTCGCAGGAAACGGCGTGGACGGAGCAGTTGGAGACTTTGGTAGGCCGCCCAGTGGCGACCCTCAGGTCAGGAAGATCGGGGGGCGCTCCAGAGGCTCCTCTCGGGCCGCCGCAGATCGCGGCATGCCGGACCCAGTGCCCTGCGGCAGGTGCCCAGCCCGAGGAAGAGGAGCCCGACGCCGCCCCCGCCCTTGCCCAAGGTGGGGGTTTGGCCAAGAGGGCCAGGCAGCGCGCCACGACTGACAATCCGACGAAAGCATCTATACACCACCACCGTGCCAGGCCAGGGCCATTCTGGGCCCCAGGATGGTGTACAGACCCTCTCGGCTTCGGCCAGGAGGGCGTATACATCATCCTGGGGCCCAGGATGGCCCTGCCTTGGCACGGTGGTGTATAGATGCTTTCTGCGAATACAAGAGGGCCAGGCGAAGGTGGACCAACTCAAGGAGCAGTTCGCCAAGGCCGGGGCGAACCTGTTCATCGCTATCGCACAAGAGCAGGCAGCCAAGCAGGAGGCGGCGAAGAAGTCCAACTAGTGGGCCGAGCTGGTCAGCCCCGACGGTACCAAGGCCATTGTGGTTGACGACGACGGCCTCCGCAGGGCCATCCGGACTTGCAGCAGCTCGTGGTTCAGCACCTGCCGGTCGCCGCCAAGCACGCGCCCCAGTTGCAGCCCACGGCAGCTGCCCCAGACGCCGGAGCGCCCGATGCGGCCCCCAAAGCGGCCGCCAAGGCAGTCGCCGCCGCCATGGCCGCAGTCGCAGCGCCGGTCAATCCGCCCGCGAAGGGGCATTCGCCTCTGGCGCCCCTTGCCGCGGCCCAGGGCGGGAAGGCGCCGCCGGGTGGGGCGCCCAAGGGACCGCCGCAGCAGGTCCCGAAGCGCCGCCAAGGCATCCCGCCTCCAGCCGCCGCCGCGGCAAGCGATGGCGATCCCCGCCTTGACGAGCGCAGCCGCAGCCCCGAGGAGCGCAAGCCTGCGGCCAATGATCACGATGGCGATGCCAGATGTCGGGGACTCTTCGTGACTAGCCCGCAGTCTGGTGCCCGTGGAGCTCCACCAGAGCCTCGCGAACACGTTCGGGTTCCCACCCTTTTCCCCGGCCAAGGCGAATAGATATGGAGGAGTGAGACGTTCATTCTACGTTGCCAGCACTACGACGTGGAATTCTCGCGGTTAAGAACCATATCTTAGATTCGTTTTCTGACTGGCGTTTGTATTTTGACGGAAACGCATCTTACTCTGACCAAGCGTGGACCAGTTCGGAAGCAGTTAAAGAAAAAAGGTTGGGAGACGTTCGTCTGCCCAGCCGCCAACGCGGCCAGTATTATGACGGCTGTCAGATCCTACCTCTCTTCTCACGTTGGTATCCTGGGGGCCCAGGGGCCCCCCAAACCTTGCCATGGGGACTTGCTGGACAAGCGCGGTCGCCGAACTAGACAAATTCAGTTTCCACGGCAGAGTCCACCTAGACAAGCGCGGTCGTCCACCTGATTTCAGGAGTGGGCACTAATCACGCCAATCGGCACATCATCAAGGAAATCGCCACGCATTTTAAAACGTGCAAGTTGTCATCCATAATGGCGGGTAATTGCAGCGTGCCCCCCCCCCGTCGGAAGTCATCCATCCTATAAAGTTGTTGCCTTTTTTCAATGGGGATGTGGATGCAATGTCGAACACTTCCTGGTTTTGCTAGAATGGACACTGGATGATCGACTATGGCGCAGTTGACCACGGGCCAGGGTCTTCGACCAAGGTAGAAGATGTTCTCGAAGGCCCTGGAAGCCCCACTTAGGCATTGCAGGTGTTCTCGCGCGCGATATCGTTCAGAAGGAGGTCTTGGCGCGTCGCACGACAGCTCCAGCCCCCGCTGCCCACCTCGGGACCCCTGTGCGTTGGGCGCATTATTATGCTGAGACAACGGGGGGGGAGGTCTCAGACTTTCACTTGGCTCCGACATACCCCTATTGCCAGGCGTGTGATAGCGCGGACTCGACCCTGCAGCATGCCATCCTGAGTTGGGCATTGGAGGTGCGAGCTCATCACAATAAAGTCGGAGACCCATGTCGCCCCGCTCGAGGACAACGCATCGCATCTGAACACCCAGTTCTCTTTCCACCGCGGCCGCGCGGAGGGTTGGAGACCAGCGCGGCCAGCAAGTGGAACGTTCCGCGCGCGCGCGATTGGGGCGCGCAGTGGCGGGGCACCCGAGCTCCCTGGCAAGTGGGCGCCGTTCAGCACCCCACCCATAATATCGTCTCAACACCGCCTTCCCGGAGTGCGTCACCGAGGACAACGGGGGCACCGTCGGGGAGCATGGCGCAGGCCGCCCTCGCGGCATAGATCTGCGCGAAGGTAACTTCGAGGTTCAGGTTGGGATTGGGTTTCAGAAGTCCCTTGATACGATATCAGCATCACCAGGGGCTCGAAAATAGGAAGGCTAGAAAGGGGTACCAGGAATTGGTCGAGGCGGACCTGCAAAAATGGAGATATATCTCGCGGCACCCAAAAAGCCCAGCCCCTACCTCCGGAAGAGCTAGACTCCACCGTTATCGACGGGGCCCTCTCGGGCGACCCCATTTCTCTCACGCAGCATGAGCTCGCCTGCTGGGAGAAGCGCCGGGCGCCCCTGGGATCCCCGAGCAGGCCGCAGCAGGCGCAGTCGCTCGTTCCCCTCATCTCGATTGCTGGCAAGGGAGCCAGGTGGCGTTTTCGATTTCGTTCGCGGGCATAGCCCCAGCGCTGCAGGAGGAGCTTACTGGGGAAACCCGCGGGAATATAACCTTCCCCGGCCGAGGGCCGCCAGGTTTTCGCCGACCTGA